TCAAGGGAAAGATTTTTGTACGGAGGTATTTTTTAGCGCCCGACGAAGCTCGTTAAAACGTAGATAAAATCTAGAATCACGTTCGCAAAGACTCTGTGCGAACCTACTTCACACAGTCTACGGTCTCGCGGTGTATAATTCTTTTTCGTTCGCCTCAAATTTCAATTTGCCGGCTCTTCTGGGGCTCGCACGTCCCGCGACGGGGCAGAACCGACCCCGGGATCTAATTATTACCACTCACGTCCGCGTTTTCAGCTAACGCGTCCGACGGAAATTGCCGTGGCCACGCCTCATTGGCCGTCGTTCGAAAAATCCCTGTGGTCGAGCGTCCGGAAACGCCGGTATTGCGGCGTCCGGTCCGAGCGTACGTGAGCTGCAAACGACGCGTCGCGGAGGATGTAACCCACCCTTCGTACGTCCTTCGGGAAAATAACGGGAAAGTGTCTGAGGGTCGCACAACAGTCGGTCCGCGACCCCCGAGGAGCGAGGGAGGCGAGCACGTTAATTGGCGTTCATCTGGAAAAGATTTACCAGCGTTGGTATGCCTGGAACGAACGCGCGAAACACCCAGCCGTGTGTAGGAAATTACTGTCTCTTCTAGGGACCCCTTCGAGGCTGCCACGTTTCTTTAAAAATTCAAACAACATACCAAATCGTTTCTATTAATTTAAATCAAACAATTATCGAGATTTCTCGAGAGAAACCATTCGCTAATAATTACAAAAGTATGAGTGTTTACGCAGCTGTCTTTAAAAAATGGTAAAAACGTCACCGGCGACCTGTTACCGCGAGCGATTAAAATAATGGCCCGAAGTAACTTCCGGAAGAATCGTATCCCGGGTAGTCTCATCAAAAATTTCGGTTCGCCAATCTCCACTCTCTGGACGAGCAACGAAGTAGGGATGGGGGTTGGTTAATTGGCGTTCATCTGGAAAAGGTTTACCAACGCGGGGAGGGATGATCGCGCGAAACGGCCAAGGGGACCGAGGAGGGGGGTTAGCTAATTATCCCGCGGGAAAAATTCCTCGAGAGCGAAGAGAACGACGACCTGCAGGTACCGGCGTCGGCAGGCAGCATCTCCATAACTCCTGAACGGGATTGTTAATTGGATTTTTTTACCCTCCGGACTCGCGTCGTTTCATTATAACGGTACCCTTCCTCCCTGTCCCCCGTACCGTCGCCCACGATCTTTCTCTCTCCTCTCTTTTCGCCCTTTACACGCTTAACCTTTCGCCCTCGGTCTCCTTGGGAATTGTTTTGCCCTATTTGTTCAGCCGTTCTCTCGCCCCGGTGTCTTCTCTCGCTCATTTTTCATTGGTCCGTTTCCTCCCCCCGGTTCTCTTGACCCATTTGTACGCGTCCTTCTTCCTTTTTCCCCTTTTCTTTCTTTTTTTTGTTCTCTTTTAAAGTCCCGGTTCCACTTGATGGTGGTTTTCCCCGACTATTTCCTTTTAACAGCTGCTCCTTTTCGCTCGTTTTATTTATCCTCCGGCCGCCGTTCGACGTCCCTGCTTTCTCCTCGAGCTTCCTGCGCTTTTATTTCCCGGTGTCTCGGGCGTACCGCGGCTTCCCGGGGCGTCGTTATTCCCTCTTCTCGTTCGGCGGTGTCGCGCGGAACCGTTAAGCGGGACGCGATGGCGACGCTCCTACCGGAAACTCCTCTCGGAGGAACCCCGAAGGATATCGACCACGCGCCCGTGAAACTTTTACTGCCGTTTCTCACCTGCCTAGACGCGTTCCATTCCGTTTCGATCGCAGTCAAACCTCGCACGCGCCTCGTAAATAATTTCATTTAATAGATGAAACATTTTCGACTTTTTCGTGCGTACAAGTTTTAACCCTTTGTCGAGTCCTGCTCGATATTTTTTCAAGTTCAAACCAATAGAATTCAATTTCATTTTCGTACATTCCGAAAGAAAGCATAAGGTTTGTGCAGTTTGCTCAAACAGAGAAATACCTGAAGGAAGAAAGGAAATGAATCTTTTTTTGCGAAACAAGTTTCAAGAGATATCCTACATTTGAAAATTACAAAATACAACATCAGTGTAAATTAAGCAGATGTTTAATTGAATTTGTTTGTTCCTCTATTTGTTTAAATTGCTTTATTTTTTAGTTAATGTAAATTTAAAATAAAATACTTAAAAGCGTTTGAAGCTGCTGGTAACAAAATTGAAATATAATTTGGAGTGCAAAGGGCTAACAAAAGCAGAACTTTTGTGCATCCAACAGTACATCGAAATTAAATAAAGTATTTTACAAAGAAGAAATGAAATGGCAAAGATCGTAAAATACGTTTCGTATCAACGAATCGTATCTAGGAAAATGAATATATCTTTGCTTATTGATTAAAAATTTTCGCCGATGCAGATTTAGAAGCGAGCCGCAAAACCACCCTTTATAATTAATTCTTCACGCGGTAGATTGAATCGTTGCTCACGTTTATTTATCTCGCGGATCGGGGAAGTCGTCGAAACACGCGTTAACGAGTCGCGAATTATTTAACTAATAATTCGAGGGGTGATTTAAAGCATCGAGGGAAATGTTACAACGCTTGTAACGACGTTTCGGTCGCTTATCGCGAATGAAATCTCCCGTCGTTCGTGACGATCGCGAGATTTTAATATCCAAACGAACCGGTTTTATAATTCCATTCGCGGTGTCCATAAATAACGCGTCCATTTTAATGGTCATCTAAAAAATAACACGTCGACGACGATCGTCATTTGAAATTTTATTCCCGCCGCTCGGCGTTCCGGTCAAAAATAATCGACGAACAATGTCGTTTGTTGCAGAAACGGTCAGCTGCTTTGTTTACGATTTTCAACGGACGCGAAATCACGGGACGATAAGTAAATATGATTGTTGTTCTCTGTTTGCAATTGCTATCGGAAAAATTGAACGACTCGCACGGCTGCTCGTGAACACTGCTTTTATCGAAACACGATGCGTGTGCATATCGAAAAAAAAATGGAGGAAAATAAAATGATCCACCCTATTTCGACGCAAATTCGGTGATCCACGGATTTAAAAAAAAATCAAGCGCGATTATCGATTTTGTTTTATTTCGAGAGGCTTTTCGATGGAGAAAATATATGAACGATTGTTAGGTAAATTATTTATTAATTCTGATAGAATCGATATAGAATTAATGCAATTAATATTGTCACTGGAGAATCGTAGATATCGGAGAAATATTTCGGGAAAAATACCGACGTTGATTAAATTAAGTTAATCTTGAGTCGAGAATGAATTTCGATACGAAAAAATTATGTTTCTCCTTGAACTATTTTTTAACGAATAATTGAGGAAAGAAACACCAAATTTGAAATACTAACGAGTTAAGGAGAATATCTTAAAGCTTTACGAATATAGTCTGACCAGATATTGATGCCGTCTACTGAATTTTTGAATCACCATAACCACGTACGAATTTAATTTTTCTACTATGTGTCATTGCATTCTGAAACATCGTTAATCATAGAAAAGCAGTCAAGCAACAATAATTAAAAAACTCAATTTGTATTCGTTGAGCATTAACGCGAAAAATCAGTAGTACGTGAACATATATGGTCAGACATCTAGCGTAGAACCTTTGGATGTTTGAATATTACAGTCGTTGAACGAGTGCATTTTAGTCGAGAAAATAATCGTCATTTCTTATTGCCCATACCTTATAGTTTGTTATACCGTGTCTCGTGTTACAAACCATCGGATAAAAAATATTAATAAGTGTACAGAGGATCGTGGACTTTTGAAGCGACAACATTCTTCCCATCCGTAAACATATTTCCATAAATCGGTCTCACAATGCCCCACCGATCCCATTCAATTTTTGTTCAATGCACAACAGTCAATAGAAGCAGAAAACTTTCCGTGCAAAACATGGGTATCCATTAACAGACACTATTAATAGTTTGCTATTCGCGCGCGACGCGGTTCGCGTTCCTCGCTAGAATATCCCGTTTCTCGTTTGCGAATAGAATTCTGTGAAATAAATTTGAACCGAGCACAGAATATAATTGGTCGTACGGAGCGATGCAATATTCAAACGAAACTTTATTTCTTAACGTGCCATTGAATTTGCTTCTTTCGGAGAGAAAATTCTCAAATAGGAAAGAAAGTAATTGTTAAAGGCATTATATTGCTCTTATGTTCGATTTTACTGGCAATTAAAAAATTCACTGAAACCGAAAGCCTGAAAAGAGAAGTTCCTTAAACTATATTTGCATTGTAAAAATTTGTTTCTCATCAACGATCGTCTATTTTATCGAAGCATTAGGTCCACGTAGAACGCGATGGTATGCTAGCGATTCGTACGAGATTTGTACGTAATTTGGTCGCAGCGAGTGTTGAAAAATGGCATCGTACGCAATCGTAGTCGCGACCTTTTGTGAATTCCTTTCGGGTAAATTGTACCAGCGAAGAGAAGCCGTTAAAAACTTCAACCGCAGAGATGCACCGACCAGATAAAACACACGCGGCCCCGCGGGAACCGCTCGGTACGTGCGCGGCATTGTCCGTCGCTTTCCTGCTGGCATAGTTTTCATCTTGATACATTTTCTCATTCTGTGTCATTGCGTGCCGGCCGCAAGAACGCTTAGAAACCGCCACTATACGCTATCCGTGGCCTTGGAGGGCCCGATAGCGGTCAACATTTTTACCAACCATTTCGAAATCCCAGATTGCATCCGAATGGACCAGGTTTGCGTAAATAGCGGGGTTCAGCTTAAATTTTATACGAACGGCGGAAGATATGTTTACGAAATTAACGGGGCACCAATTCCTTGATTCTTCAAATAACAAAATACATGAAAGTTTTGGAGAAAAAATATTACGTCTGTTTAAAGAAGTAGCAGACACTTTCACAGGAGTTTTTGTAAGAGAAGTGTTATTTATTGAGGCGTCATCGTGGGAAACGCGGGTGTTTTACGAATCTGGTCTGGTAAATTCCGGTAACGCTGGATGGAATAGTCTTGCATGGAAACTCTCGGTTAACTCACCTATCACCGTTAAATTGACTTTGGAGTTGCGCGTCTGGCCGATCTGAAAATCGACGCGACACCTGTAGATGCCGGCGTCCTCCTCCTTTATGTGCTCGACGACGAGCTCGGCTGGCTGCTTGTCCGACACGAAGTACGCCCGGTTCGAAAACACCGAGTCGTCCGACCATCGTTCTGCGATACCGAAGTCTCGACCCCTCACATCCACGCTGGAAATAGACACGCGCGACGCAATTAGCACCGCCAACTTAACACGATGAAACTTAAAATGCAACAAAAATACAGTAAAAAATAATTCCTCGCAGATTTTCACGAGAAATTATTTCTTTGTTGGGACCTTACGTTTTGGAGATATCGTAATTTAAATGAAGGTGTAATTTTTTAAATTAACAGATATCGAGAGCAACAAAACTTTCTTCATAATGTAATCACTCTCAGAAGTAGCAAAGCTTCCCCTTTGACATGATTTTTTATTTATTTCAATCTGACTTTTCATTTCTGAGATATCGTCGTGTAAAGGAAAGTGTACCTTTGTAAATTTCACTATCTCCCACGTGCATCGTGCTGACCTAATTAAAAATCGTCACTGAGTAACATAGTATTTCCAAGAATCCACTATTTTACTATTTACATCCGAGCACGTGCGCGGTCAATGACCTCGCGATGTAAACAACGAAAAGTAAACAAACACTTCGAACCCTTATATCTCCGGAACTAATCACGCTATCAACTCGAACGAACACTCATTTTGAAGACTATTACAATCAACGCTGTCTTCTATGTTCATTTTGAAATAAACTTTGTTGTTAATAACTTTTTGTCCGTCTTTTCCGATCGCTCAAGATTCGTTCCAAGACCACGTTTCGTACTTCTCGCGCGAGGGTTCCTGTTTTTCAATTCTCTGGCGCGACGGACTGGTTTAAAAAGCGGTGCCGAATTTTATCATAATTATTTTAATTAACGCCACCGACGTCGTTCCCGCGAGCGACCAGAAGCGTTTCCCCGAGTGCAGCGGTGAATAAATTAAAGTCCCGGGGGAATACGAATGAATCAGGGGGAGGATGGGGCGGTTTAAATGCGAACGTCGGCCAGTTCGCTTGAAGATTCTCGCTAGTTTCGTTGGCAGCACGAACGAGCCTCTCGGCGTGAAAGAAGCCTGTATATGAAAAGCGTTTAAAATGCCAGGCGGGGCTGTGAGCGCCGGAATAAAAATGAATCCGCGAACACTGCTCGCGTCAAAAATACGAGCTCCTTCAACAGAAGAACCGGAATTATGTTTTTTTCCATCTATCTCAGACGTTTTCAGACACGGCTTAACACCTAATCGCGTTTCATCATCCAAAGGAAATCAAATAACAGTCCGACCGTGGAATCGTTTCGGTGAATGTTTATTACGGGGAGCGCGTTTTATCGAAATTACCTTCGCCTCGGAGGCGAGCGAGATCCTTTATCTGAATACGTATTTCCTCGCAACGAGCAAAGGATAAACAATTCTTTGCTCGTCGAATAAAATTTAAAATTTCAATCGTCGAATTAAATATTCAAGACCAGAAATGCTATTTTGCGATCATTAATCCGATATGTCTTCCACGAAAGAACGACAGGGAAAAATAGAGGGATCCCTTCAGGACAAATTTTATCAGCGAAGCGTCTCTTTATCGTGTCTTATCGTTCAACATCGATTTTCCTCCAAAACGAAGTCCCGTACGAGAAAATTCTATTCCGTGTTTCGATTTATTGTACACGTAGGTACACTTCCTTTTTGGTTCTACCTGTCGTGTCATCTGTATGCCAAAACGACACGGGGTTATAACGGGTCAACAGAAAATTTATTACACTATATGTTCACGGTAAGTTCGTTCGTATTTTCTCGATTCAATTACTCGACTGTGACTTAATTAGCTTCATTCAAAATTGACATGTAACAAGTATTAATTGAGACAAAACACGTGTTCGCAGGAGTTACGATAAAATTTCATTTACAAATAATTTATTTCGCCGCAAACGCGAAATCATATTTATTCTCAAGCGAATCATGTATTGTATATATTTCCAATTGTTTCCGCCCCAGTTTCTTAATATTCGCAAGTTTGATACAACAAAGCCGCATTATTATCGTTGTTTATCGAAGGAGACAAGGAACTGCGGTCGAAAACGCAATTATTTTAACCGCGAACACCGGCGCGAAGTAAAATCCGCGGCTGCATCGAAATTATCGCAGTCGTCGTTAATTTTCCGGGGTTCAAAATAGGTCACTAATCTCGTATCGCGTCGACAGTCTGTTTGCCAGGGCTGTCGTTGACCGATAGAGAAACGATCGTCGACAGTTCGCGCGTGCACAGAGACGGGGACGTGCGCCCGCGCACAAATTGATTTGCATCTCACCTGTAAACTGATGTACCGAGATCCTCGCGATACCAGAGCACAAGATGCACCGAGTCCCCTTCGTGGGTGGTTGATATGTCGCAGGGAAGATACGTGGCTTCTCCGACCAGCGCCACGATGTGCGATATAGGTACTGGAACACAGTAACACATGGCCGCGTGAGATTAGGTGCCCCCAAGTACCGTATGGCGTTATCCTGTAACGCTAGTTAATGTTTCATTGGTAACAGGCTGAACGCTAACCAAACTCTTACAATGATAATTGCACACGTAAATAGGCAACCATTTCGATACTCTAGCATTTTTTAATTAATATCTCCTTTATTAAAGGAAAATTAGTAGACGTCGATTATCACGTATTTAACACTTTCACTGGTATATGTGGCTGATAAAATTTACCATTATGATACTAGAAAAATGAATTCTCAAGTTAAGGCGTTGAGGGAAATGATTTTGTATGTTAACAAGGCAAAATCGTTGTAGTCCTCGTTTTATTATTGCGAGGGTTTAAAGATTCGGTAAAATCCGCCTGAAACGCTGCAACACGCGCTGCACCGGTGCATTGGGAGAAAGCCAAGCGAAGGGTGCAGCAACGTTGGCCAAATCCACTGTCGCCAGGGGTCAACCACCTCGGAGGAACTACAACGAAATTCGCGACACTCGTCGAGATTTATTTAATGGACGTTTTAATTGATCCTACGGCGCGGTTAGCGATAAACGATGCACGTTTATTGTGCACATCAACGGTAGTAGAAACGATTGTACGAGTATCGAATTTTCAGATTGGGTCACTGATGATCCAAAGCAAGAAGTCTCGTTTGCCAGTTTTAAGGGACCAGTCAATAAAAATGATTAAAAAATTAATTTTGTATTCCCAAAGGATAGTCAAGTAAACCAAAAAAATAAATTACAGCGTTAGATGTAACGTTTTCTTAAAAAAAAATTAAGATTACACGAGACTGACTCTTCGAGGAAACGAAAATTCTCGATTGCAGGTTTCTTAGACCTATTGATATTTTAGAATTAATAATTAAATCATCGATTGCTGATGGTGTTTGGTTGCAAATTCGTTGGAGGTTCAATGAGAACGGGAAGAGGAATATTTAACTGATCTCGCGAGCACGGTGGGTTTTGTTTCGCTCCCCCTCGAGACTGTAAAACGGTCCTCTCGAGTCGTCCTCGAGCGACCCAGATGCGACCGTACCGAGGTTAAAGACGAACGAACGGAAAAGGGAATCGCTGGCAGTCGAAGGGACAATGCCGGGCGCGTCCGTGACGCCGAAAACATCTTTCTTCCGCGCGCCGTTATCTGGCGAATAAATGGATATTGTGCGCTCGAGCGACGCGAGTACAAGCCGGAGAACAAAGGCTCATTGTCGGCCATCGCTAGGCCCCGAATAGACGTTTGCAGGCTGTTTGTTACTCAAATGGTTTTAAACGCGTCGCGATGCTCCGGGGCCAATTTTCTGATTAACTGGGACGTTGCACCCCCTCCCCCTGGGGGACCACCGCGTCTCCGGGCTCCCAGGTTTAGTTATGGTCGTTATTTCGAGACTACGCTATCGGCTTTGCGAGAAGATTTCATCGATTTACGTTTTAAGTTCTCTCCACGGGAGTTCGTCGACCGTTCGACGTCCGTTTTAAAACCGGACAGTACAGAATTGTGGGTATAATAACGACAAGATGGAGACAAATCCATAATCTTGGCTTCGGGATTTGGAAAATGTCCGGACCTGTTTGCATATAATTCCATGATTTCTATGGACTTTCGAAGTTAAAATTTATTTTATTTTGCAAGGAGGATACTACGGCCCCGTGTTCACTTTAAGTGGATCTAATGTCGCGATTAAGTAGATCGGTATACAATTAACGGGTACATTCGTGTTCATAATAGGACCATTATATAGCGTAAGTCGATAATTAGCGACACGATACGCTATAATGTCGAGATTAAGTAGTACAGATTCGTATCTGTGTAACGAGTCCTTGCATTATCCAGTTAAGTGACATAAGACAGTAATTACTGTCACGACACGTTCGTATCCCCGGTAATTGGATGAAGTAGAATAGATCAATATTTAGCCCGGCCATTAAATTCCAAGGGTTCGGTCGCGTATCGTTTCGCGGCTCCGAGATTCCGGGGGGCCACGATATTAAATATTTGTAGTTAATCTTTAATATTAATCTCGTTTCGCGACACAGTGGTACGAGGCAATATTAAGTCAGACGACAGACGTCTGCGCGGGCGACTAATTGCAAGTAGCGCGGGTCAATAATTCAGCTTCCACGTATACACCCGACTGGCAATTTCGAAATTAGGTATTACGAATCAATATTTATTCTATGCGTTATTCACGGTTGTCAGAGTCGAGGGCAAACTTTGCGCAGTGTACGTGGCGGTTCACCCCCCCAAAACGGATCGAATAATTTTCTTTGCCTCCACTATACAACAACGAAATTGAGCTACAACGTTCGTTTCTTTGTTCTACGAAATCAGAAAATCGCAAATAGCATCAGTTTAGCTTCTAGTTTAATATTTTCTGTTGATTTTTAACTTTGGACACTGAAGGGTAACAAAAGTATATTTTATTTTGTTCCATTCTCTTTCGATTCAGTTTCACCTGGAACTATCAAGGGTTAATAGTAACAACAATAATCCCAGCTAGCCCATTCATCATCCAAATATCCATTAACACTACTTCCACCTATAAAACAAATATTCCCCCAAAGTCCAAAAATTGAATCGAGGCAAATTAACATATTGACTACCACATATGATTTGATGTTAAAGAAAATAAACCTACTCTTCAACTTTAACAAGTCTATAAAACCAAAGTCCAACAACAAATTATCGTTACTCTGGTTTCCAAGTTGTTCGAAAGCAAAGTTTCGTTTTCGTGTACGATTCGAGGGGTTTGGTCGGGCAGCGAACGCGTTAACGACGATGCTTCGTGACGATGAGTGATCTTTAAAAGAAAAAAACCCCGTAGGAAACGGCGCGGCGTAGCCAATAAACTTCTCGAATGGCTGGATCCCTCGTCGGGAATCTCTTCTCGCGAAATTAGATGATCCGACCCCCGTGTCTTACGTGCTTCCCGCGAGTACAGGTGTTCGGGCGCAATTCCAGCCCGGGTAAAAGGAAATTCGAAACATTCGCCGCGGAAATTGGCGCCCGTTCCCTTCCCCCCCGGGCGTCCTCGCGATGCCGTCGACCTTATTTCTCGTCGATTTCTCAGACGACGACGACGACGACGACGGTGCACCGCTGCTCCTTTTCCTATCCATGGCATTCAACCACCCCCGGGGATTCGTCCGGGGGACGCGTCATATCGGGAATATCGGGAAAGAGACGGCATTATCGGACCGACGTCTATCATCTCCGCGATTTTTGTCGGATTTCAGCGCGTAGGAAAATGAATGGGGACTCGCGCGGAGGAGAGGAACGAGAGCGGACTCTCCATTCGAATTCGTTCTTCCCGTCACCGAGTGAAATACGATCGCGGGTACGTCGTTGCTTTATTGATATTCGAACTTGTTCCGAGGTATTTTCATCGTCGCGTGCTTGCCACGTTTTTTAATCCACGCGATAGAACGAACACGGAATTATTAAGTTCTTTCAAAATTTTCTTTTGTCTATTTTTAAATCTCGTTTTGCCTATTGCGCGAGTGCATACAGTTGGGGTTCGTTAGACCCTACGAGAGTGTTTTAGGGTTAATTTCGGAAGCACCTCAAACATTCTTCCGTCCAACTGGGTTAGACCGAGGCCTTTTGATCCTAGTCCGGCGAATTCTCCTCCAAACCAGAGCTCCAAGCAAGCGTTGAAGTCACTCAATTATTATTCGCTCACTTTCATCAAACTTCAATACTCGAATGTAGTTAGAAAATATATTGCAACTTATATTTTCTTTCGTGTCTGATATTCAAGTTTAAGGGATGGATACAATTAATAGTATCCATTTTTTTTTATATTTAGTAATTTTTTTTATCGAATACGGCATTTAATAGTAATTTTACGGTACTTTATCGTACACTAATATTCCAATTAATTTTCGTTGGGCAATTGAAAACTAATCGAAATAAGAATTTCGTATCTGATTTTTTTTTATTATTTAGTAATTTTTTTTTATCGAATACAGCATTTAATAGTAATTTGACTGTACTCGACGTTAAACTAATATTCCAATTAATTTTCGTTGGTATTCTACATAATTATATAACAAAGAATTAATTATTAATATTGTAAATCAAATTCATCGTACGATCTATAATTTTACCTCAATCTTTCCAATTTATATACAATTTCTTTATTTGTCATTAATGTATCGAATACACTTTCAACATGTGAAAATAATTTTCAGAATTTAAAACCGTCGAATTGAAAGCATATCCCCGTACGTGGGATTAGAATTTGAAAAAAGCATAGCCTCTTCGCTGTTACCATGGAACGAACGGCCAACAGATCCGCGAACTGTAGAACTCTGCAGACCAAAATGCAAACTTTAGACGCAACCGTGCAAACATGTAGCACTCGACGAAAAAAACGGGAGACGCTTCATAAAAATCAGCCGCGTAATAATCGCGGGGCTGGCCCGTGAAAAGGCAGACGCATTTACAAAATTACGTGCTTTAATTAATTTTAAGTGCAGCTTCCACGACACTGTTTCACGTTTCAGGTTAAACGTCGCGTCCTGCTTCGTCAATAGCGGTTTTTCTTTTTATAATCTGCTTGCCGGTGGCTTCAATTCAGAGGAAACGGCGACTCGTTTCGATGAATTATAATTACAAGCCGAGACGACGGTTAAACGAATCGCTTCTGTAAACGTTTAAATCGCTGTTGAAATTCCGCCTTGAAACTTTGATGCGTCTCTTTTTTTCCATAAAAGTTGGTACTTCGTTTTAAAATAAATCAAAAACGCGGAATAAAAATTTTTCATACGAGGCTCCCTTTCGGGAAAAAGTTCCTTTCATATTTAACAATATTTTATTTTTTATTACTTTAATGCGAACAATTTTGAAAAATTCCAAACGTGGCTATTTTTATCAAAGAGCAATTAATTCCAGATTCAAGCGAACTTTTACCGATCGTTTTTAGAATATTTTGCGAACCGCGATTTCGTAGAATTGGTAAAATAA